TGTTCATCAATTCAATAGGGAAGGGAAGGAGGGAAGGAGGAAGGAAGGAGATGAAGGAGAAGGAAGGAAGGAGGAAAAGGTGAAGGAAGGAAGGAAGGAAGGAAGGAAGGAAGGCCCCCCTCAACCTACAAATAATTTTCTCACCCTGCTCCCTTTATCCCAGATATAGACGAATGTGCGACGGGTGTGGCATTGTGTGCGCACCAATGCCTGAACACTCACGGCTCCTACCAATGCCTGTGCAACGCTGGCTACGAACTCGGGGCGGAGGGCAAGCAGTGTTACCGTGAGTTTCCAGGAAGGACGTGTGTGTGTGTGTGTGTGTGTGTGTGTGTGTGTGTGTGGAAATTTGGCAAAATCCAGACGGGGTTTGGAGGGCGGGATCAGCCGGCGGTCCCGATTTTTTTCCCCCCCGACTCATTTCCCACCCCCAACCCCACTTAATTTCCTTTCCCAGGAATAGAGATGGAGATTGTGAACAGCTGCGAAACCCACAACGGGGGCTGCTCCCACTTGTGCCAACACACCAGCGCCGGGCCGGCCTGCGGCTGCAGTTTCGGATACAGCTTGGATGAAGACCGAAAGACTTGCATTGGTGAACAGTTAACTCAACCGCTTGAGGGAAATATAGCCCGTTTTAGAACAAAATTTCGAACAGGAGAGGAACATCTGGCTTGGGCCGGGGGCGGGGTTGGACTAGATGACCTCCAAGGCCCCTTCCAACTCTGTTAATCTAACATCTGGAGGGAGCGAAACGCATCCCTTTCCCTTTTGCACAACTGCGCTGGGGTTTTTTCGCCCCACTTAGCTCCTTCCTCACGCACACACACACACACACACACACACACACAGACGCACACACAACCCCTCCCAAATCTGCGTTTTACGCAACATAAAAATTCAGAGGGAGTTGGGGGGGAAACCCACAAACACAACATGACTTTTGTGAAGTGCAGTGGATGCCAGCCCACACAACTAGGAAATGTCTCTCGTTTCAGATACTGACGAATGCAACACCGGGTCTCACTGCTGCCAACAAGGGTGTTACAACTATCCTGGGGGTTACGAGTGTGTTTGTTACGCTGGCTATCAGCTCAACCCCGCAGGCTGCGGATGCGACGGTAGGTGGAGTCCGATAAGTACCAATCAAACAAGTGTGCAAATTGAAGGGTCCTCAGAGGTCATTTAGTCTGACCCCCTCTTATCTTGGGTAGGAATCTGCCCGTATCTCATCCGAAAAGACAACCTGCTTGCAAGTTTATTTGGTGGTGGTTGTTGTGTTAATATATTATTATTATTGTTGTTGTTATTATGTTTCTTTTATTTTATTCATCAACTGAGCATTTAAAAATATATCACAAGTATTATTATTATTATTATTATTATTAACTTTTATTCATTAAACATGAAACTCAGCTGAATATTTGAAAATGATTATCTTTAAAAGAATCATTTAAAATTAACTGAAAAATATTTTAACATATTAAAATAAAAATAAAATATTTTAAAAGAATGATGATGATTGTTTCTTTTATTCATTGAACGTGAAACTCAGCCAGCCGAGCATTTAAACACGATCAATTTTTAAAAGAATCGCTTCAAATTAACAAAAACATTTTAACAGGTGAAAATAAAAATAAAACATTTTTTTGAAAAAGGATTACTGTTGTCGTTGTTTATTTTATTTCCCAGATCTGGACGAGTGCTCGGCGAATAACGGGGGCTGCGAACATTTTTGCCGTAACCTGGTGGGTTCGTTTGTTTGCGGATGCCGGATTGGGTTCAAATTAGACGAAGATCGCAGGAGCTGCCTTGGTAAGTCTGGCTTTTCGTGGGGCAGCAAGCCTGAATGGAAAATTTGGACACGTTCACGAGTTTTTTTGGGGGGGAGGAAATTGCCTATTTGGATGGTAACCGAAAGGAGGCCGGCTGGTTCAGGCTGGGGTTTTTTTGTGTGTGTGTGTTTGCTCCGCTCATGTTTCTAGTCCTCTCTGTCCCCACCTTTACGGGGCAGCTGCTTGGAGGTGTTTGCTCTCTTGCCATAGACCTCGGGGAGGCCACAGAGGCCGTGGATGGACAGCGACCCGTTATCCGGCCGCTCCCCCACGTGGCTTTTTTCCGCGATGGGCTCACCCCGTTTTTTGACGATGAATACGAGGATGAAGAGATGGAGGGCGCCGAAGCCAGAGGAGAATACACTGTCTCGGAGAAGTTCAGTAAGTGCAGATTCCTTCCTTCCTTCCTTCCTTCCTTCCTTCCTTCCTTCCTTCCTTCCTTCCTTCCTTCCTTCCTT